CGACCCAGGATGCGCACATGAGGACGCCGGGTTTTATTTTATTCCATATTAATAAAAATAAAAATTAACTCTCACCCCTGCACCCTTTGGCCTCGAAGGCGTTGCCCGAGTTTCAAGCTTCTGCCAATGCGGTTGCGACCCTGCTGGCGAAAGTTTTCCATAATCCTTGCTCAGGCACTGCCGTTCAATCAAGCACTTTTGTGTTTCGGGTTGTCCGGTGTTACTGGATGGCTTTACGCTGACTGAGTTGACTGACACACACAAACGGTCATCTTGCAGTGTGCGAGACGCAAATGTCAGGATGATAGATAGGCAGGCAGCCAGGAAGACAGGCGGACGCGGCAGACAGGGTTGGCAGCCGGCTTCCATTCACAGTCGACTGCTTTTGACCCAACGATTGAATAATTCATGCTAGCGCTTGGCTAACAAGCTTAGCTCGGAGCCCGGCATGGAGACGGAGAAGAGAATGATGACGGACTATCACTGGTACATGTGCGCATATCCAAGCGAACAGTGGCCAATTGAGACGGACGACTCCACGCACTTCCAAAAGTCCCCACTCATGCCAGGCACTGGTTCAGAGGGTTTAGTGGCCCAAACGGTCACAAAATACTCCTTGGGGCGCAAAAAAAAAAAGGAAAAAAGAAAAAAGAAAAAAGAAAAAAGAAAAAGAGAAAAAAGAAAAGAAAAGAAAAGAAAAGAAAAGAAAAGAAAAGAAAAGAAAAGAAAAACAAGAGAAACAAGAAAAGAAAAGAAAAGAGAAGAGCCGGCATGCAATCTTGGTAGCGTGCAAGACGAAGTAGTGGGTTCAAACTCCCGATTAAAGAACGACTAGTATACTATTTGCAACATTGCAACAGTGGTTGCTAACTCGACTTCTGGGTTAAGCCCCAATTAGCTCTCCCTACAGACCTTCCTCTCCAGATCCTTCTCGTCGTTCTCTCAGAGAGTTCTAGAGCTCTAATGGCTTTTTGCGCACAGGGTTGTATGAGGCCCGCATTTAAAAACATTCCTGTATCCCAGGCTACGATCAATTCTAGCGTTCATTCGCTGAAGGATCTGGTCACAGGGGAGAGAAGCAGAGATGGAGGCACGATCAGCGCTCTATGGCTCTACGGCTCAATGGCTCTGTCCCACGCCCATAAGACCGCCAAGTGGAGCCTCGAAATCTTCAGACGATTCGAAACTGGACTAGCAGGCAGTCAGTAATCGATAACCATCTCGATATCAAACCTCCATCTGGAGAACAATGCTAATTAGGCACGCTGTTAATCTACCGATAATACAATAACTTAACTTTCTTCCCCGATATTTTTATATAAGCATGATTGTATGATATCAAATGGGGGAGACAGGGATCCCCTGATAACACGCTTTGTTTCATGAAGGAAATTTCCCACTGGGGATCACCGTCCAGGGTCAACGGAAGAGCCCCTGTCACATCCCTGAGTGAACCCCTGGAGACACAGCCACATGAAGGACAGTCCCCCGGGGCACTGTACCTGAAGCAGAATGACCACTCTGTGCAAGGAATCCATCCGTGGGATTGCAGGAGGGAGGGGATTAATATCCCAGTATTAAATTTTCAATAACACCAGCCAGGCTATTCACCATCGATGTAGTTAAAAGTATCATATCGTTTCAATGTCCATTCAATTCGTGTCTGCTAATCCAACCATCGTTCAGTTAATTAATCCTCCTGAGGTCTCTTGCCCTCATTTCGCCTCTACACTCCTCTCCATTCCCCTTCATTCCTCTTTGCTCCTCTTTGCTCCTCTCACCTCCCCCCCCCTCCCCCTCTTCACCTCACCCCCACTGCTCATGGTTCAAATGAACTATCATGTATATATAAGTATACATAGAGACATTTCCGCGGCCCCCAGACTTAGTTTCGGCATGTGACT